CTGGTCCATCTGTATGTTATAATCAAAATTCTTAGCCCATTTTATCATGCAATCTTTAACTTGTTCTTCTGTTTCAAACCTCAACAAAAGTTTATAAGTTTTTGCAAACACATGTTCACCATTTGTATACAATTCATTTTCAAATTCTTATGCTGTTCAATCCCCATTACCTTTTAATCGGTATTAAAATTGTGCATATGAAAATTATTCCTTATAACACCTTGTATGGCCCAGTACCATATCACCTCCTAGTTGTGCACATGAAAACCATTGAAAACTAAATCCCTCTGCAGTTAATTGTTCTCTTGACTTCATCTTGAGTTGTCCATCTTCCTGTAAGCATCCAGCTCCTGACTTAGATTGGCTCTAGCTTGTGCCAGGTCAGTTCCCTTGGTTCCACCCAAGCTACAGAAAATACTACTTCCTGCATGCTGCTCTCCTTGGTGTGCAAATGTGCATACGGGCCGCTCTCCCATTTTTTACACTCTCTGGGCAACTTGGTATGCATCACGCTCTCCCATCCCTTCAGGCTCCATGCAAGCAACTTGGTGTGCAGGTACAAACATCCACGCTTGCATCTCCATTGCTTGGTAAAAGAGCACCTTCTGTAGTTCCCTGTAGCTGCTGAGGCAGGGAGGGCCCATAGTGCCCTGGACGGTCTGGGTTCTGGGTCCCTGCCTGGTTTTTCTCCTCTATTCCATGAGAAACTCCAGACTGCTTTCATATCTGTGCGAGCCTGCAGCATGGGAGCTGGGCTCTCTCTGAGGGCTTAGGGGCACCTTTTGTGGCTCTTAGCTCTTGGGATTACTGCCCTAGGCTCTGGCAGGCACCATGCTTTGGTCAGCAGGACAGGCAGTTGCCACGTGCCCACAGTGTTGTTCTTTCTCAGTGGTGGATTCCCCCTTTTTTCCTACATCCCTTCTACACTGGCACTATGTTGTTGGTCCAGAGCTGCCTTTCTCAGCCTACCAGCTGTCCTATTTGGACAGCAGGTGCCCAAACTCTGCCAGCACAGGCCTTCTGAGAAGCGGTTGGGATGGTGGGAAAGTCTGGAGGCTGGACTTGGCTCATCTGTTGTGAGATGGACATTTCTGGAGGAGGATGGGCATATGTTTGCAGGACAGGCAGGAGCAGGGATGAATAGCAGATGCCAGAAGAGACTCTCCTGATGGTAACTTAAACAGATGCCCACCTGCAGGAGCAGGGAAGAGAATATGGCATTTGCATCCTGCTTTGGATGTGGTAGACCGCACATCTATCACAAAACAGAACAATCTGTTCCTTTTGGCCTCGATCATATCATCTTGCCAAAGTCACGGTTGGTTTTGAAATGGGTGTCCTTTTCTCTCTGTTCCACTGAGAGGACCCTGACGGAGATAAGGCAACAAGGGGTGAAGCATCTTTTAAGTCCAGAACATCCAGATAACATTCAGAAATGGCTCAGGCAGACACCACCCTGATTCACTGAGCTATAAAAAGGAGGAGGCGGTCCAGCATGATCAGATTTGCAAGACTCTGTTCTGATGGCCAATGTAGCCTTCTCGTGGAGTTGATTTCTTGGTCTGGTCTGCCTAGTGGGCTGATACTTATATAACATTATTGATATGTTTGTATTACACTACTTTTAATATTTTAAAATACTTGCCTTTTTTTAATGTTTACATATTACTCTGGGCTGAACTGAGCTGGAGATGCCACGGACTCTCTGGGCTGGCAGGATCTGGATGCTCAAATTCAGTCCTTCCAAAACTGAATTGCTTTTCATCAGTGGTGATCCAGTTACAGCAATCCCAGCAGTAATTCTGGATGGGGTCATGCTCACCCAAAGGATTTAAGGTCCACAATTTAAGATCCTTCTGAACTCATAGCTCCTGCTTAAACAGCAGGTAGAAGCTCTGGCTGGGGGTGCTTTGCTTAGCTCTGGCTGGGGCACAAGTTAAAGTCCTATCTCAGCCAGGATGCCCTGCGATGGCAACTCAAGCCCTGATCACTGTTCTGTGGAAGGTTCTCTGGAGGGAACATGGAAGCTCCAGTTAGTCCAGAACGCAGCAGCCCAGCTGCTTGGGCAGGGGGATAATAACACCCATAATTTTAAGGCCTCTACACTAGATATCTATTAGCTTCCAGGCCCAATTCAAAGTGCTGGTTATTTTTTGTAACACCTTGTATGGCACGGTGCTGTATTATCTTAGGCACTGCCACGCAGGAGTTTTAGTCCACCCATCAGGCACAGGCATCTTGAGAGGACCTGCTGACAGTCTTCTGCTTGGGAGGTTCATGGGACTTCATAGAGGCAATAGACTGTGGCAGCCCCCATGAAAACTCTCCTCTTGAAATGAGCTTTTGACACTATTGATTGGTGTTTTATGCATCAACTGTATTTGCATTCCTTGTATATCCTTGGTTTGATTTTACAGTGCTCAGAATAAGTAAGATTGAGGTGGTTAACAAATATAGTAAATTAATATTTTAAGGACAGCTCTCTATATTTTGTTATTGTTAGCCACCTTGAGCATTATTTTAGTGAAAAACAGGATATAAAATAAGGAATAAATAATTCAAGTTAAAGCCATTTGCATTTCATCGGCGAATGGTTCAAACAAAAATTAAAAATAAAATATTTTTGAGGATTGTTGCCTCCCATCACCAATCCATAGGCCCTGCTCAGTCTATAGAACAGGACTTGAAGTTAATTGTTAAACAGTATTATAACTTGCTTCCACTTTTACTTTGCAGGGAGAAGTATTTAACAGCTACTGAGGAGAGTCAGGCAAATCCAAAGCAGTCCGCATAGTCAGTGGATAAAACCAGAAGCTGACCCTGATAGGAGAGAGCCTTCCATGCTTTAGTGGTCAATTTTTGATCCAGAAGTTCCTTTCTCCTGGTTCTATCAGTGACCATAACTGGCTGGCAATCCCTCCCAAGAAACTACTGTTTAGTTTAGGGATTATTTATTATATTCCTTTACTGTTGTCTATGGAACTCCGGGTGATAATACACGAGAGTAGTCCAAGCACTGAAGAGCTTAGCAACTGTGCCTGCTAGAGACTTTTTGAACAGAGACTTGTGAAGAGGAGAAACCCAAGTTTGCTCCAGTTGTATCTGGTTGGCAGGTACAGAGCTGAGGTTCTGTTGACGGGCCCAGATGGTTCTTCTGCTCTCCCTAGCTGATCACCGTTGTTTCAGACAAAGCTTCCTCATTCTAGAAACACTCATGATGGAATCTAAATTCATACAGTACCAAACAGATACAGATAGAAGATTCTGAAGATTGTTGTTTTGGGGTATCTCCTCTGTTACATGTACACATGCATCACAATTCCCTTGCCAAGCCTGTCTGGGTTCAAATATATTAAGCAAAATGGGGCTTGAAAGCTAGTTTGGTGTAGTGGTTAAGGCACCAGGCTAAAAACGGGGAGGCTGTGAGTTCTAGTCCTACCTTGTAGAGGGAAGAGGGACTGGCCTTGAGGGGCAGGAAGAAGAGCCACTACCAAGGCAATGGTCAGGTAAAAGGGGCCTGAGAAAATGGTTCAGGCAAGCCCCTCCCTATTTCACATTAAGATAAAGGGAGGGAGGGAGGAGGGAGGCACATTCAGTCTTGCAAGATTCTGTTCTTTACAATACAGGTAGTCCTCAACTTACAACCATTCATTTAACAACCGTCCAAAGTTAAAACGGCATTGAAAAAAGTGACTTGCAATTGGTCCTCACACTTAAAACTGTCGCAGCATCCCCGCAATCATGTGATCAAAATTCGGGCACTTGGCACAGGCATGTATTCACAACATCCTGAGGTCACATGATCACCATTTGTGACCTTCCCAAGGGGCTTCTGACAAGCAAAGTCAGTGGGGGAAGCCAGACTTACTTAACAACTGCATGATTCACTTAATGACTGTGGCAAAAAAGGTGGTAAAATTGGGTGTGACTCACTTAACGACTGCATCACTTAACGATGGAAGTTCTGGTCCCAATTGTGACCGTAAGTTGAGGATTACCTGTAAAAGTAGTACTGACCTACAAGGCACTGGTTTCCTAATCTGATCTACCTTGAAGGGCTGATACTTAGGCATGAAGCCAGCTGGGTGGTTCTTGGCCAGCTCCTCTCTCTTGGCCCTAGGAAGAAGAAGACAAGGGCAAATGGCTTTCAAAAATCTTGCTGAGAAAACTGCAGGGACTAGTCCAGGGAGTCACCAGGAGTCAAGACTGTCTCAAAGACACACACACGGTTTAGCATGTCAGGTGAACACAATGAACTGTAGTTTATTAAGTAACCCATTGCTTACTTGGTTTAGCACAATGTGTGAACTCACTGCTGGCTATCACATCTCACTAAGTCTTGTTTTGCTTTAATCAGGATTTGCGATGAAGTCACGCAATTGGCACACAACGTTCTAAAACGCAAATAAGCAAGTCATCTAGTGGCTTAGCATGACACGTGAGACCAGCTCTTCACATGGTGCAGTGAAAAGCAGGAGGACCCGTGTCTCTCCTGCGTCTGCTCAGGGTGGCTGGCTGACTGGGCCGGCTTCTTGCCAAGGTTTCTGTCCTGCAGACGGGTGTGGAGGCTTCTAGGTGCCAGCTCTGTCTAGATCACAACTTGGGGCTGGAGCCTGGCGGTGACTCAGAGAGGTCTGATCAGCGCTATGGACCTCTTTGTCTTCCAGAGGGATGGGCGAGTTTTCCGTTCTTGGCTGTACTTGTGCCGTTGTTTGGCGGACAGCGGGCCCTGAGAGAAGAGGAGAAGAGCTCAGACGGAGCATAGAAAAGCCAGCTTGGTTGGGATGATCGTCTCACGTCTCGGTAAGGCATGGAACGCCCGTGTTTCCTTGGTGCCCGCAATCAAGCACAAACTGCACACCTGGGATGAAGACCAGCTGAGCAGAAGCCTCCTGCCTACCCTTTTCAGCAGCACTTCTGTCAGCCCTTTGGACACCATGGTTACGAATACAAAAACTACTTTTATTATATGGTTGCAATAACAGAATTTTGCAACTCTGACTGGGCCTCCCACCTCCCTGCCTTTATCCTAAAGAGAACTAGGGAGGGTCAAGTGTGAGATGTTTTCTCACATAACGTTCCTGCTTTGGACTCAGATTTCTCTTATCTGACGGTTGCCTCGGCTGCGGCTCTTCGTCTCGTTCCTCAAGGTTATTCTCGCAACCCATTACAATTTCCAACTCTTGAATAAGTGAATAAAAATGTCTTATTAATAACTGACCTTATTCTAGGTCAGGCCTGTTCCTCTCACTGCATTGAGATATCAGGGTCCATTTCACCAATCAGGTAACCAGAGCCACTTGCCAAGCTCTGGGTATCAAAGTTTCACATTCCATATTACCCACAGTTTTACCTATACTGAGAGGCAGAACTGGGTCCTTGTACCTGATTTGGCCAAAGTCACCGCTGACAGCAGATCAGATAAAGGCAGCTTGACTCCAGCCCAAGAAAGTGGTTTATGAAAGGGGAGGAAGGGAAGCACATTCAGACTGGCAAGATTCTGTTACTAGAGCTGTTCTAATAAAAGGTGTCTGTTCCTTCATCTGGTCTACCTTATAGGGCCGGCTACCTTTTTTTGTGGGAGGAGCAAAGGGTTCCCTAAGGCGGTACTCAAGATTTGTCTCTTAAACTCTCTTTGCATTGATTTTAATGGAGCCCCAGCCAGCCCTCAATGGAGAACTTCTTGGGTTATTGGCTTAATAAATGGAAACTTTTATCAGTTCAAATGCAGCTGCAGCACTTCCTCCTCCCCCCGCAAATCCCCTGGACACAGATCGCCAATAAGGCTTACTTTGGTTACGCTCCTTGGTGACAATCCAGCCCCCAGCAACTCCAGCATATTGGCTGTCTCACCCTACACATAAAAAAGCTCTTCCTTATTTGTGGGAATAAAGTGTACAGAGCATTGCCCCCAGGATGAAAGGGCCATGCTGGTGTGGGTGGCTGCACCACAGAACGACCCTGGTCCAGGGGATGAAGTCTGAACAGAAGCTTAACCTGGGAAGATTTGCCCATTAAGCATGAAAAGCAGCCCCTGAAAAAATTCCCACATTGGACACGCATAAAACAGGATTTCAAACTCTCCTTAGAGCCCTGTTCTCCAACTTAGGAGTCATAGAGATAAAATGGGCTCCGCATAAAATCTCTGCTGAGTTAGTTTTGATCTTTAATACCACCCTTTGCTTTCAGGATGAAAGGTGCTTATTGGCTCCGGTAGTTTGGCAAAATTGCAGGCAGCCGAAGGGGAGCCTGTGCCCTTTTGCGGGATGCAAGTGGGAACATAGAACAAAATGGTAGAAAAATGCTGTTGCACGTTTTCATCAGGGAGCAAACGCCGCCACTGGCCGTGGCTCCCCTCACTCTTCCTGTCTCGGGCGCATGGGGAAGAAAGCCTTACCAGGGCACTCTTGCTACTCAATACATATCGAGGTACTCAAATTGGAACAGTGTGGGCAAAATGCTGCAGAAGGACAAAGTACCAAAAGACAAAGTGCAGAATTTCAAAATGGGGATGTGTGTGATACAATAAAGTGAGAAAACAAGAAATCACGTTACAGGCGGTGCCCTTAGTGGAGCTTGAGAAATGCAAAGGTGCCCTGGAGCTCCAAAATGAGTGGTGAGAGCCAGGATAGGCAGATTATCCACCCCCTCCCAGTCAGAGAAATAATTAAAATGCCAGAAAATAAAACAAGGTTGCTAATGCAGTGGTACCTCGGGATACGAATGCCTCTACTAACGAACTTTTCGAGTTACGACCAGCTCCGGCCGCAAAAATTTACCTCAATGTGCGAACTCCGCCTCGGGGTACG